GCGTGACATTCAATTTATCATCGACAAGGAAATTCGTTCAGACTCGGAATTCGAGCGTTCCGCAATTTCCGCGCATGATACTACTCGCTACCGAAAGCACTCCTTCCAACGCGAGCGCGTTGGCTAGAGCTTTACTTTTCCACTTAACTTTCTCGATATTCTATTCTGCAACGATCCGATATAAAATATTTATGGGAATAACTTTTTTTCCATTCGGTTTTTTCCCATTTTTGCAACGGAGAACGATGAGATCGATCTGTCAGACTTTTTTTTGAAAAATAGCTCATAGATTGACAAAATCGAACGATGCATTATTGTAATATTACGAACGGGATGAAATATTTAGAAATACTGATCGATTGGCAGGAAAGTTTCTAATTTTTAAATTCAAAGTTATTTAAATTTTGTCATTTACTTTCTTTCATTTAAAGTGTTTTCCTTTTAACAAAGTGAGAGAAAAAAATGTCATGTTTTTAAATCGATGTCTTGAAATGAAGCTGTTGAACAAAGAAAAATAACAATTGATCTTTGTTCAACTTGTTGTTGGAAAAATTTCCAAACTTTCGTAAAAGTATGAAATAATGGTGAACAACGTTTAGCGGTACTTTCGCAAAAATCCGGCAGTGTGAGAGCGAACCGTGGAACCCGGATTTTTAATTGAATTACTATAAGTATCCGAGTCGACTGTACATATTTGAAAAAAATTGTCATTCATTCGATCGAAGCAAATCGAGAAAGTTCTTCTCTGGCAACTCGGTGAATCGGCAAAGGATGTACCTACTTTTCCACATTTCTATCTTCGATAAAGTCAACGACATTGGTGTTAAAACTCTCTTCGAGTTGCCTGAAAATCGTGTTTGAACCTTGTCTGCTCGATCGAAATAAATCGACGCGGTTTAACTTTCCGCGTTAATACGCGTAAGTAACGAGTAACGACGAGAACGCTTCATTAATTATCCACCCTCGGCTAACGAAACTGCCGCGTGGAAAAAAAAGCGGCCGACGCGATCCTCGATCCTGTCCAAGCCTCTCCGACGGTTATTAAAAGTTGTTGTTCTCTTAATAAAAGTTGCAAACTCTCGAAGGGAGAGTAGTGGATTGCCACGGCAATCGCAAATACGAATAATTAACTGTATTTTCGCTCAGCTCGCGAGATTATTCGGCGACATTATTATTATCAATCTCTCTCGATAGTTAAATAGATAGTTATATTATGTCTCTCCTTTTCGTCATAACAGTATACAAAACTATTTTACTGGTTTACGTTGTTTTCAAATTTAATAAACATTGCCATCTGGCGACAATAATTCAAATAAAACAAAATCTTGTACAGTATCCAAAAACAATATTACTCGTGGATACCCCGGATATTTTATATTATCTTTTATAGTCTCAGAAATAACGTTTAGTGTGACGGAGATTTAATCGATCTGTTTCACCTCATTTATTTCAGTATTTAAAAGACAACACAGTGTGAACAGTTTATTTAAAGAATAGAGCAGCAAACGAAATTCATTTGTTTATTATTATCTTGTTTCAAACAGGACCAAAGCGGTTGTTTAATTTATCCGATGAAAGTCGATCGACTCGTTCGACGTGATTTTCGTATTTCCCGCACTATCCCCGCGGATCGTCGGCAAGCATCCCGATTGTCACGGCCCTGGTGGCTATTTTTGCTATCGTCCGTGCGATATTTATAACAACAGACTTATTTCACCGTCGACACGACTTCTATCTGTCGTGGAGAGCTACGGACCCTTGGATTCACGTTAGAAACACGTCGCCTCGTAATCGTTCCCGTTATTCCTCTCTCTCTCTCTCTCTCTCTTTTTCTCCTCCAAGAGCAGTCCCTTGGGAAACGCAAAGCTTTGTTTCCAGTTCAGTCTTGGCGCGGTGTACTTACACCAACCCACTTGAAAGTATTTCAACATTTATATCGCAGAGATTGCAAGATATTTAATTTATAGCGGTATAATAAATGCTCGAGAAAGATGGTCCCACCGGGCATTGAAGCTTATTATACGTAATTACGGGATTTCGCTCGTCCTACCATTTTAGTTTCTTATTTTAATGTCTTATTTTAAATCGCGCGCATTCTTGCACATTTCAATTTCATTCGCGTAAAAAGTCCACAGTGATTGATCAACTAAAATACTTTTTCGAATCTCTGCGAAGTATGACCATATTAAACAACATTGAACATCTTGTAATTAATTTCCAAATTTATTTCGAACTTTATTACGTTATGTATCTACACGATATCGACGAAATATTTTCGCGAGTCTGCACACGTGTCAGAACATTTTGCAGAATTGGAATAATAAAGAAGAAGAGGGAAGAGAAGAGAAAAATCACTGTCCGCTTTGAGACGCGGAATTCCTGGTTAATTATTGTAGTAGCCCCGGTTTCAATGGCGACAGGCTAATCTCATCTCGTCGCTCACATGGCGCTGTTAATTAACATCGAGTCACTCATACACATATCTCTTTCGTGATGGAGTCATGTAATTAACAGCGATTATTTTTCCTTCGTGTTGTGCTACGTTCTACAGTCGCTGATCTGACTACCGCGATACAGTTTCCCGGTTCTGATTTCATTCCCCAAGATTCAGGTCAGACTTACGTACTCGTTTTACGATCAACGTAGATTAATATCCGTGAAGTATAACGATAACGCTGGTACGACGATAAATTGCGGAAAATCGTCGTCCGTCTTATATAATCGGGGGGGGGGGCGAGGAGGGGAATACAGTATTCTTCTGTGAGAATCTGGAGACTTTGGTTGATTTGTGGTAACACGTATTGGATCGTGCGGTAGACTCATTAAAATGAATTACTAGGATCATTAAATTGAAGCATTATAAATTAAACAACACACGTTCAATATTTAAATGTCACAGTTTGCCTAAATTATAAATTTGCCATTTGATAAAATCATTGCTTCTATCAATATCAGAGTTTTATTCTTTTATCAATTGAGAAGAATCTTATCGTCTGTATGCAAGTGAAATCATCCAGTCCGTGTAAGACTGTTCTCAAACAGAACACAACACAAAGAAATTGTAAGTTTAATAAACATCACATTTTAAAGGATCGAAGAATGTATAAAACGTAGGCGAAATATTCGAAAAATACTACTTGTCGCAACGTAAGTCACGAGTAAAACAATTTTTTTACCTTCACTTACCATGTTACACTCTAGATGATTTCGGCACGTTGTTACATCATCGAGTTTTTGATAAAAATTCGATATTCCTAAAAATTCGCGGAATTTCGACCGAGTATCAGCGAACGCGCAAAGGACAAAACGCGTATATTAATAAATATAAAACTTTTTAGCGGCACATTGCTCGTGGAGTATGCCCGCGATGTAAATGGGTTCGAATAAATCTTGTCGGAAAAAATAAACGCAGCATCCAGATATTACGCTGGGACGTTAGTGTATCCGTATTCCTCGATTATACGTGCTGACGTTTCAGCCGACCACTCCGCTGTGTCGGCATTCGACTCGCATATGCATGGGAAAGGATAATATGCGGCTTTCTGTACACGTATCAAGCCTCGCTATTACGTCGTTGCCCACTGGCATAATGTTCCATGATCGTTGTTCGTTCTTCGCCGTGAATTCGATGAAAATTCATTAACGCAGAGAGATGTATACTTGCCAACGAACGTAATCGAGATGTTCTACATCTACGGTTCATTAAAGTCTATAATTCTGGATGTAATTCGACTAACCGGTTTCGGGGCGGTGGTAGCGAAGTTTATCGCGCCGCGCGCCCGTTAAATCTTCTTCCTATCAATTTGCTCGGCTCGTTGACAGAACGACGGTGATTATGAAAACGACGCTAATTTATGAAAGGTCATTTCTTTTCGCTTCGAAGGGAATCTTTGAATAAATTTTCGAAATCTGTGTTTCACAAAGGATCTCAAATTTGAATTATTTATTAATTTGAAGCTACTAGCTTTATTCAAGGTGAAATTCATACCTCGTACGTACGAGGAAGTACAATATTCATAAAAGAATATTTTATAAAATCTTTGGATGTTTGTTTGAAAGTTTCCAATTGTTTCCAACATTTTTATTTCACATATTACGCGGTTACGTTGTCGTTTAAAAAAAATCACGGTGCTTCCGCGATTCGAAAGTTGCTTCTCAGGTAGACATTCTTCAAATTAAATTTGGAAGTACGACGAACGATGTACTGTTTTATTTTTCTTGGACTGAATGTTCTTTATTCTTTATCGAGATACGTCAAAACATCAATATCCTTCCTTGTCGTTAATCGTTATCCGATCGAATCACGTCGATATGTGAGTGTATGAAACAATTCTTCTCAATTGACAAGGGTTGTGTTCTGCCCAGAAGCAAGTTCGACACAGGTCGTTCTTGCGCAACCAATCAATTTTTAACGCCAGCGATATAAATCAGAATGTAGGTCATTTTTTATAATTTCGTTTCCACGATAGTGTGAGTCACGTTGCTAATCACTGGGGTTCCACCAAAAACATCGTCGTAAAAGTTCAACGAGAGAGCTTTCGTTGCGGCAAGTGGACTCTGTATTTTCATGTATTACGCGCGCTCTATCGAAAAATGTGTATGAAAACGTATGAGGCCGGATATAAGAGAGAGAGGGTGGGAAACTTGACGAGGGTCATACTTGTCAGAGACCACGGTTTTAGAACCGTGGCGGCAGGAATCGCCGATCACTCGTTTGGAAACTCGGTTTCCCAGTTTCTCTTAGGTCTCTCGGCCGTTAATAACACACATCACGAATTGGCAGACCAATGATCATTAATCTAAGCGAACCGCGATACTACAAACGCAATGCAACACCGGCTACATTCGTGACTGGAATGTCCCATAAATTTGATCGTTCCGCCGAAAATCGTCTTGGCCAATCGTCCGATTGTCACGGCTGTATTTCCTCGCTTTATGGTTAATGAAATCCTGGATCGTTCGGTGGAACACATGGGTAAATAATGGTTCTTGTGTTTCAGGAGAAGGAGCTGGAATTATCACCGGACGAGGCGAAGATCATTCAGAAAATCCAGTCGGATCTGTAAGTGAAACTCGGACGTACAATCCTTTTTTTTTTTTTCTTTTCGTAACACCTACGCGAGGAATTTTAAATTACTGTTTCTTTAGACCTCTGGATATTCACGATTCGTTAGGTGATTGCTTAATGTAAAATCTTTAGGAATTTCGTTGGCATTTTAATGAATAGTGGCGAACGCGAATTTTTACGTGAAATTTGAAATTGTGTGTGTCTCGCGAAACAGTCGCCTGTTGCCGAAATCTTATGTTTCAGATTATACTTTTATACTTTTTGAACTTGCATAAAGATGCTCAGTCTAGTAATGACACCTACTGATGAAAGAAATGAAATCTCAGCGGTATGCAGAAGTTATAAAATATTGATGCAAATATTGATAGCAAGCGCATCATTCGGGATATTTTACTTCTAAGGTCTTAAATTTCTTCAGTATAAACAGCTTTTATGACGTTCAAAAACTTTAAAACGTTTTATTGATTTTCCGATTGATTTCAAACCAGTCGCTACATTATCTTGTAAACTCTCTTTCATCGTTACGTTTTGTTGCTCAGGCTCACCAAATTTAATTATGCAAATATCTTCTGTATCCACTTTACATGCAATCACTCTGAGCCAAGTCTCGTTACAGTGCCATCGGAATTTCGCGATTGTTTGGTGAAACGTTCGTTGAAAATTCACAAAAGCTTTCTAAATTCAAAGACTTCGTCACGCGAGACCGTGCACCGTACAAACGTGGAAATTGGGCGGCTGGAAAAATGTGGGTGAGACGGAAGGCATGTGTTACTGGTGAATCGGATCTGGAAATAGTTTGATGATCGTCGAACCGTAATTTTAGTCGAAAGTGTAGGACGTATGACGCAAATCGAGGTTGCCGAGGGAACAGGAAATCGTAGCGAACGTTTGCCGATTTCGCCGGGGCCCTCCCTAATTGCAGAACGTACCACTATCTTCCCGCTCGGAATCGAGCAAACTTTTATGGTGGTCGATTTACTTAATTCTCCTAACTCTGCCCATCAAGCTCAACTTTTGAATTTCAGTCGAGGAGTATGTTTGATCAGAAGACGCGATGCTACGTGTTCTCTTAAGTACGATACGCCGTAAATAGACACTAACTTTGAGTTATTGCGTCGTGTTGTCTCATCTGTCGACGCCGTATTCTGTGTGTGCATTATTATGCACTGTAGCTGTTATACGTCTCGTCGCAATCCTCGCTTAATTTTGCAGCAACCTGCTAAGCAGTTTGTCGAAAAAATCCTTTTATTGGAACTCGACCTCCCTCGATACGCAACATCTCTTCAACTTCTCCCACTGCTTCTCTTACGGAATTTTCTCGCGTGGGAAATGATTTGGAAAAATCATTCTTCACTCACGAGCGACGAAAGGTCGAGAGTTATTGTGCGTTACCTCGAAATCGCTTGTTTGTTGATTTCTCGAAAGATTAATCGCGCCGCGGAAATTGAAATGGCGCGATATTCATTTATAAAGTGCATCAAACGCTGCTCGCAATTAATATCTCGGTTCTTTTGTCCTTTCGTTCCAATTCTGATGATGCCTTTTACGTTCCCCGGTGTCGGGGGAATTTCGGTATTCCCTTTCTAAATTGAAATTCGGCGTTTTACCTCGCGAATGCGCGGCCTTAATTAATTTTCTGCCGATTCGCCATAATATTAATTCAATCTTGTTTTCAATTAATTTAATTAATCCGGCGAGTAATTGGAGAGTTAATTCTCTCTCGGTCGAAGCACTCGGTCTGTTTTCTCGTTTCTTTTTTAAATGAAAATTTGTAAACGTACACATCGTTCTTACGATTTGCGGCAAACAAGCTCGCGGGAATTATTTCTTTTATTTTTAATTACACATGCTTGGGACAAAAATATTACCTACACAAAGTTTTCGCGGTTAGTCTCGCTGTTTGCACAATTCCTTGGATCACGAACTGATATTTATTGCTGCCGTGTAATTCGAGCCACGGGACATTTCAAATTTACACTAACTTTACGTTGAACAAATTTAAGAAGTTTCGCGATATCTCGCAAACATGGATTTATCTGCTTGACTCTCGATTTGCGTCATTCATCTCACTCCCCTCTCGAATTGCTTCGCCCTATTGTTCGATGGTTCGACCCGGGGAGGAAGAAAATGATTTCCATTTCAATATGTCGTTTCATTTCGAAGAAATGCACTCGTCCGCGATATTTGACTTGGAAAAATTTCTCGTGTCTCTTTGCGTTTTTTTTTTTTAAAAATGACGGGAATTTCCGAGGTATTACTATCGTGGGATACAAGGATGCACAGAACAGCGCGTGGAACATATAAAAATACGCGAAATATTCGAGATACTCGTGTACTACTTTTCTACCAACTCGATATTAATTTTCAGACAGTCGATAACAGTCGATAATCGTATATCGCTGGCTAGATTCGATCCGATAGTCTGGCAATTATCCAGGGTTACCCGTAAGTAATTTTGTTTCCCGATATCGTGCAAAATTTTACTTTTATTTAAGAGCTAATACAGTTTCTGTGACATTTTACTTTTATTTAAGAGTTAATACAGTTTCTGTGAAATTTTACTTTTATTTAAGAGTTAATACAGCCTCTGTGACATAATTTAACAACAAACATTAGTCAATATATTCAACTAGAATATAAGTTATGTTGTGACGAGTTAAATTATTCTCAGTAGATAGCAACGTTTATTTAATTCGAAGAAAAAAAAAAAAAAACAACATTGCTTATGGATACCTTCGATGCAAGACGAATACAACAACTGAAAAATTATTATTAAATTTTTCTCTTATTGGATATTTTCAAAGATATCGTTTTCACCAATTTCAACAATTGGAGAGAAAAATACGAAAATACATGTGCGATGTATTGAACGATTCGGAAATTCACAAAGAAGCGCGCAATTTCTCCGAACCCTTTTATTACATATTGCGAAATAAAAAGGGGGAGAGTACACGGATTAGACTGCAGAGAAATTGAAATGACGTGTAACGCATCGAAATGGCAGGAACGTGGCGAGGTCCATGGAGCGAATATACGCCGTGCCATCGGAAATGCTGCGTGTTTGGTCGATTTGGCTCGGCAAGATCGGCGAAATTGCCGACGAATGGCAGAGGTGGTTACGTGTTCACATCGATTTTGCTGCGAGGCTCGCGGAAGAGTTGCAGAAGGCTGACCAGGCCTTGAAACTAGAGGAGGTAAGTTCGCTTTCGTGTAACGACCTGTTACGGACGTTGGACCGACGTTAGATATTTATGTCGGAATGTCCGGCCGGTAGGATGAAAAATGGACGCCATTTACGCGCGATGGGAATTCTATTCTAAAATTAATTTCAGCGCACGTAGCGAGTTGTTGTTATTTACGACGGAATTACGATCGAACGGAGAGAGTCTCCTACGTTTTATTGTTTGCAATCGTGCATTTTGCAAACTGAATTTTTCTCGCCTCGTGCTTCACTTTATCTTACATACAGGTTAGACTACAAATTATAGAAAATATGGCGTATTTTTGGTTTTTTAAAGTCGGATGTTGTCGCGACGTCTTCACAAAATTTCAAACACGCGCGTAGATCTTTTTTTCTTCATCGATCGCGCTTTGTGGTGGATCCACTGAGGAAAAGTTTATCTCAAGCCTCTACTTTCGTCGCGAAGGAACGGAATCTTCTACGTAAATCTGGCAGGGAGTTATCGCGATGTTCCGATACAACAGGAAACGCGAGAACTTCTCTGTATTTAAATGAAATTCCGTTCTTTGAGATTACTCGAGCGGCTCGTGACTATTCAGAGACGAAATTTCGAGATATCGCAACTGTAGCGTCGGCCTCTATCCAGTGTTGTTAAGAGCAAGTGCAATTTTCGGGGAGGTGTGTTGGCGCGCGACGACGACGACGACTCGCATTTGCAGAATGGAAGAAGCACTCGCCCCGGTCCCGATATCGCTTTTCAATAATTTCGAGACACGGTAGCGTTCGCTGCAGTCTCGTGCACGTGTTATCGCGGTTGATATCGCAGCTTTGGAGGGATCGTCGTTAACAAAAGCCTCTGCTTAACCATTTGCGCGACGCGCGTTTACGAGACAGCGTAAATAGAGAAGCGATGGAACGTTCCGCTGGTAGCTCCAGCCCTCTCGGTTCTTTCTCGGAGACTCCCTCGCAATCAGCGAAGTGATACCACGCCTTGGAAGAGTAATGGATCCACGAAGAAAGGCGTCTGTTCGAAAGATTGCTACCAGTTAACTCGAGATGAAACTGTTTGATCGAAATCCGAATTAAAACAGGACCAGCGAAATCCAGAAAAGTTCAGATCCTCCGCAAATCTGTATAGAAATACTGGCTCACTCGGAATACTGAAGAAACGAGGAAATTTTAATCGTACAGCGATTCAATTGGTTCCACGAGGTTTAAAACCTGGTGATTCTTTTCTTTTTCTAAAGATGTCTTTACATCACGCAGCAGAAACACTCTCGTTGCTTTAAAAAATTTAGATTTAGCCTCCAAAATTTTTTCTCGCGATGTGCCACAATCTCAAAGATCCTTCCTTTCAAACTTGCTGTACCTGCTGTACGATTCTATCGAACCTTGAGCGACAAAAATTCGAGGGATCTCCAGCATTTTGCCCCGATGTTTGAAGTTTAATGTAAACAGCGAAGAAAAAATCGTGCGTATCAAGTTTACAAGAGGTACAAAGGGGAGATTTCGGTCTTCGAGATGATGGCGGTAAATTTTCAGAGGCACATGATTCTTACAATATTCGAGAACGGAAGCGTCTTTGTGCTTTCCCGCTTTGTCGACTTTGTCAAAGCGGATTTTGAAATGAAGCCAAACCGGATTGTCACGCGATTTTCTTTCATGAAGTTACAACAGTTCAGAGGGTCGACGATTTTTCATCGAGCGTGCGAATACTTTCGCACTTCACAGCCGCGAAAATTCCAGCGACGTTCACGCCTGTCGGCGAATCTCGAATTCTTTCAACGTAAATTACAAGTTTCGTTTGACATCGAAACTCCGAGGAAGATCGCAAAGCTTCGGCACCTGTTTCGATGAAAATTCATCGACCTGGCGCCCGATACTTGATACTGATCGAGCTGTTGAAAGTTTCATTTCTCCCTCCCACTTCTGGCAAGACTATCAAATTTCTCAATTTCCTTGATCACGGACCCCTTCTTTCTCTAAATATCGGAAACTTAACGTCGTCGAAGGTCGAGCTGGTGGAGCATGATTTACGCGACTCGTCTTACGGGAATCGTGTCTCGCTGAATCCAGCCAAGTTAACCTTGATCTTTCGCGAGACGACGCGACACGATACGGCACCAAGGAGGCAACGTTGTTGTTTCCTTGTCTCGAAAGCTCAGGTGCTTTGCTCGCCTGCTTTTTCGCTCTCTCGGAGATTTATATGCGACGCTGCATGCTTCAACGACGAGGGAATGCGTTTAAATCTCTCTTTCTTTCTCTCTCGTTCTCGCGGCACGCTTCTTCTTGCGAGTGACTTGGCAAACGAAAAATGGAGAAACCACGAAGGGGAGAGAGAGAGAGAGAGAGAGAAAGAGAAACGGCTTGGTGTGTACAGTGTTATTGAACGATCAATCTTACTTCGGGAATTAAAGTGTATCGAAGTTGGTCGACCATTCCCGGGACTGTCGTCGAGATTTAAATTTCGATATTTCTTTCGTTTTTAGATCGTAAGATAAAATGGAGAATCGCCGATTAAGACGATGGACAGAGACTAACGAAAGATTCTTCGGAATGTAGAAACTTCGAGAAAGTATTCGGTATAGAAAGAAAATTTTTCATTTTTCATCAGAAAGAGAGAGAGAGAGAAAGAAATTTTTTACCTTCATTGTTGAAGAAACTGCTCCGTTCCAAGATTCCTCGAATATTAAAATTGATAATTCCTGCAACTCCGGAGTAACCAAGACGAAACAGAAAAAAACTCCAAGCTTATTTAAAGAAATTTATTTAATTTATTTAAAGAAAAGTTATTTAGAAAAATTATTCCTAAACTAATACTACAATTACAATTCGTATGAAACAACATTTCGTTGAAATTCACACCTGTACCGAGACTTTTACACGAACGGTGAATGAAAATATCGTATTTCTGGCCGCGTTAATGAGAAACACAAAAATACGTGGAAATTCCGGTCTAATTCTAGCTCCACTCTCTGACATGTGAATTCTCACTCACACACGTTGCTTGGAGGTTTCGCGGAGGCGGCCGACCTTGTGGACAACGGAGTTTAGTCGAAACGACATCGGACGACACCGGACGATCAATCGTACCGTAATATATTTAATAGCGAGTGCAATGGGCTGGCTCGTGTTTTAATAAGAGAGGCGTCGCGTGGGAAATAGTCAGGGCCACGGCGAACGTATTAAAACCAGGTCGCGGCACGTCAATGAAAATGCAATGAATTTGAACAGAAAAAAAAAAGAAAATGAAAAAAGAAAAGAAAAGGGATCGCGTGACGGGTTGATGGACAGTTGTTGCTCGAGATAACCTCGCAAACACAACGTGGATTGATCGTATCGTATCGAATCGTTTGGCTATTCTGTCAAATAGAAACCGCGAACGATCGAGGGCTTCGAGTTTAATCGAAAGAGCGTGTTTGCTCTGAACAGCTGCAGGTTAAAACTAATTTCTGCGGAGTTTCTTGAACAGAAAGGTTCGAACTGTTGACGAATAAAAAAAAAAAACCATTTTAACCTGATCGTTAATTGACCATTTAGCGTAAACGCAAGTTTCATTCAGTTGCGAGTAAATACGAGTTCGTTGTGTCTGATTGTCGCAATTTAATTAAAAACGCGTCCACGGCTGGATAAATTATATGGAACAACGCGCGCGCACGCGCGCGAGAAATTCTTCTTCATTTTTGCTAATTTTCAGTGAATTATAAATAATACCGTCGAGGTCGAGAGTTTTTAGATATAGAGCAGCGATGGTGGGGCGTTTCTCGGCGAGGAAATTTTCGAGCGTTGCACGCGGATTGCAAAATATGATTAATGGACTGTGAATTTTTATGCAAATTCATATTTTCATATTCCTCTCTCGATTAATTAACCAAAGTGGGAGGTTTCATTTTCATTTGTCAAACATTCTACACAAATATTCTATAAACTTTCAGTTGGAGGATGCAAAATTATTGCAAACGATCGGTGATGATCTTGATTTGTAGAAATTGTGAAATTGCTTTACGAAATGCCGGGCAAAGTCAACGTTATTCGGCGAGAGCATGTAGACGTTAAAACCGAAATTATTCGTTCCATTTGCAGCAGTCTGGTGTGTGTTTAAATATTTGAGCCGAAAGTCACGCGGTCTCGGCCCCGATAAACCTGTAATTATTCGCGGAGCACTGTAACAGCCCTCCGATCAATTTATGCGGTCCCGGTGGTAATTGCTGCCGTCTCACGTTCCTCTCACGCTCGGCGAGATAAGCGGGTTTAATTTTCATTTTAATATGCATTAATCGTTCTGTTTGCGCGAGCCAAACTCCCGAACGGCTGGCTGGCACTGCCGCAGAGGCCACCTGAAAATCCCTCTTTCTTCCCGAGGTTTTTTCCCACCGCCGTAACACGTGCCATAAATTACACCGGCCTCGTAGACGTCGGACTATATTTCTGTCAACGGCGTTTAAAGTTTCGCGAGAATGGCGGTGATAGTTCTTGTCGTGAGTCGGCATAATCTCGCGTAGTCGTACATACGTGCTAAAGGAGTTGAGAGAAACTTCCGACAGGGGCGAGAAGGAGAGGGAGAGGGACGAAAGTTGCAAAATAAAAGAGAAGGAAGGTGGTTTGATATGAAAACTAATTCCTCCGGGCTTTCTTCCCGGCTGGTTCTCTCCGAGGTAACTTTTCCCGATGATTTATAAGCTCGTGCTGTCCCCGGCCCGGCCACCGAGGGGATCGACATCTGTTTGTACGTACCAATATGCGGGTTTATGACAATGCATCATCGTTCGGGAGTGTCCGGATACTCGGAATACCATTTTCGACAGGATGTATTTTAGTTATCAAACTACAAATACTGCACGCTGAAATTAAATTGTTTTTATGTCAGACATTTTATTTAGATTATTCTAGTATATAATAATCGAGAATATATCCATTATATTCTGTAATAATATTTCTAGTATAATTAGTTATAATACAACTTTAGTATGCAATAATTCTAATAATAATTAAAATTGTTGCTCGAGAAGTCCAACGCTTTATTCCGGTTCTTTGTTCGCAGGAAGGATACCAACCGACGGAAGAATCGAACAAAGTCATGGTGGATCAAGAAGGTATAAATTCGTCGAGGATGATATTCATCATATTTGTTAGATTCGAATTTATTGATTCTATATTTAACAACAGCTTATTTCGCCACAAAGGTTTCATCATCAACTAGAGACTGCAGATTTTTATTCATTTTTACATTTTCATGCAAATCAAACACATAGAACCTATACGGATATCATGAATAATCAGTATTATTTGTACTTCGAATATTCTGCACATTTTTGTACTTTTAAATTTTTCGCGAGTGCATAAAAATCCGCTCGGAATTGACAGGCATTTATCAAAGAATAGAGTGAAATAGTTCCGAATAAATTTCGAAAATTTCCGTCCAGGAAGATTTAAAAAAAAATAAAAAAATTATATCGCCGGGATTTTCTCAATGCCGAGTCAATCGTTGAAGTATAATTACCTTGCGAATTGTAGAAATTACATCACATAGTCTCGTGAAACGTAATAAATACTTGGGGGGAGAATACGAGCAAAATGATCGTAAGAAACGGCGACACAGTTGAAAAAAAGTGTATCACAGCGGTTGACAGTCGCGCTTATCGCGAGATAAATCCAAGACTCTGGCGCTATCATCCTCGCGTAGTGCTTTCGCTCGGGCCTTAAACAGACTTTACGAGAGGCTGCATCGGCACAGTCCCGCTGCCTTATCTCGCGAATTTCTCGCATTTAATAAGCAATTCTACGTGTCCCGGTTATTACGCCAGTGAATCTCTGTCGACCCGGGAATTAACCGTTTCGGAGGGACGAGAGAAAGTTCCCTCCTTTGTTCCAGCCCGTCCCGTTCGAGCGAGACAAAGCACCTGCCGCCGTCGTCCAACTTTTTCACCGCGATAAACAAACCGGGGAGAGGAGTTTCGCGATTTAATTAAGACGAGTCTTGCTCCCTGTCCCATATAAAAAGCGTAATCTCGATCCTTCGTCGTGGACGATTGTCAGCAGGCGATTAAACCAGCGAAACTATTTGCTCGAGTGAGTGTGCGGACGTACGATCGTGCGTTGGACACTTGGATCGATTTGTAACGAAAGTGCACGAGGAATTACTGTTTGGCCGCTATCGATAAATTATCAGTTTTCGTTAAGTGTTTCGATGATCGAGACAGCACTTGCAATACCATCGGAACGCGATTCATCGACGTGTCCAACAGTATTTCAATACGCGATTATATTTTTCTCCCAGCCGATCTGAATTTCGGTGACTACTAAATTGATGATTAAATTGGAGCGATTCCGATTTTGCGGGACGATTGCCGCGAATTTCGTTACCAATATCTCGTTATGCGTCTGTTTTATCGCGACGTCGCGATGAAATAATAACGCGGTATGTGGCGCGGCAGGTCGCGCGCGATAATGCGTGGTTAATTAATGCAAGAGTACCATGCACTTTCGCCTATCAGTTTGGCGAACTGTTACATATTCCACGAGGCGTAGACATTTGAGGGAAACCCGAAGAGTAGCTAATCAAAAGTTGAAAATCTTTGCGAGTACGTAGAAAGAAAAGAGAAAAGAAAAAAGAAAAACAAGTGGAGAGCATTCGACCATTTGTTTTTCGTGCAAGTATAAAATGAGAGACTGAAACTGTAGTTGTAGGATTAATTTGAAATTAGTGAAACGGGTCGACTAAAATTATTGCATTGGACTTAAGTTTTCACGCATAATTCACATGTAATAAGCTCTCTTATCCTTTTCACTATTTTATTACACGGGGCAAAATTAAAACGTGGACAAAATTCGCAAACAGTGTTGGAAGAAACGTCCGAAGGAAAGCTGGGAGAAGAAGAAAACTCCGAAGCAATGCTGCTGGCATCGAAATCGGGAGAGACAGCGCCAGAAGACTCGAGAAAGACAGTGGGAGAAAAATCGAGGGTGACGTCCGAAATGGCGAACAAGGAGGACGAATTCACAAAGATTTGGCCCATAGGCACACCATGGGAGCATTTGGGAACAAAGGACGACAGTGACAGCGAGCCATTCGAAGTAAGAATACTCGCTCGTTACTTCGCTGTTACAGATGAATACACTGCCTAGCGTTTATCACGTCCAACAATCTCGTAAGAATCAGTTTAATCTTTCGAGAGAGGCAAAAGTCTCTCAAAACTTTCCCTCCCTCTTTCTTCTCTTCCTTTCTCTCCCGAACAACGTCGCTCTTCATTCGAAAAACTTGCAAACTTTCGTTTACACGCTGTAAATCTGTTCTAAAGAAAAAAAAAAAAAAAAGAAAAGAAAAGAAATAAAAAAGAGAGTTTCGTTGCAGCGATTGCCTTTACCGAGGACCGAGGAGGAGATGAGGGCGTTGTTGAAGAAGTTCACGCACGAGGCGACCGTCTATCGATCTTATTACAAGCACTGGAAGGAGACCGCTGAACAGGTGAAAACTACGACGCGGTGGTTTCTTTTTCTCGTTTGAATTTTCCACGTGTTCTCGTTGATTTTATTGCCTTTCGTACAGATACATCGCGTGACAAATTGCGAGAAAATAACGAAAGACTTTCTTTCACAATACGTTTCGCTGCGAGCACTCGATTTCGATAGCTTTTTTTTTTTTGTAATAATTATTGGATAATTTCGAAGATTTCTTTTCTGAAAATTTCTGAAAAGAACTTTCTCGGATAGCAGATTTAGAGTACTCAGCAATCTTTATTTCTTTTCCCGTAATGGATTGATTGCTTTTGTAAAATTAGGGCTTTATTTCTTATCTTCAATATAAACATATATTTATTATCTTTAATATTAATACAATATCGCTTTCTCTTTGGTATCTGGCACGCATTACTTATTATATCTCCATCTTGTCTGTTACCATCTTTCAGAATCTTCTAACTTCCTCTTTTCACGCCATCAATCACACATACATACTCCTGTCTTTCTTATGTCCTCTCTCCCATATCAGATGTCACCACAACGCACAATCACGAATCTATCCCTAATAGCTTTCACTCTCTGTCCACGACGAACAAAATCTACGATCATCTAGAATTCTCACGATACAGGCGATCAAGGAAATCGGAGGTAGATCAGTGCTGGCCACCTTCCTGGTGCAAGGCTTGGACAAGCACGGCAAGGTGAAGAAACAGCTTGCTCCGAAACCGGCGGTAACGATCTCTGAATCACGCGTGCCGCGACTTACTGAGAGAGATAAGAAGAAAGGAAATGGTAACACAAAGTTTAATGTCAAATTTTCGGATGAGGAGCCAACACAGTCCGCCATATTGGAGAACGATACCGCGGTAACAGCAGTGGATGAGCTCGAGGAGCAAGGGGATGAACCGGTAGAGGAAGAGGAAGAGAAAGAGGAAGAGAAAAAGGAAGAGAAAGAGGAAGAGGAAGAGGAAGAGGAAGAGGAAAAGGAAGAGGAAGAGGAAAATCCTCCGTCGAATCCAGAACCGTCGGAGGAGCCGTCGAAACTTTCTCCAGTCTCCTCGAGAGTACGTTCACTGCGATTTACGGGCGAAATTTTACTTGATTTCAGTTTCAGTTTTAAAGTATTAAAGTTTATTATTTCCTGTTTGCGATTTTGTTGCCGCGACTTTGTCGTGTGCCGTGCGTAACTTTGCTCGAAAAGTTTCGCGCGAGTTATTAGATCGCGAATGGCGGCGCATTTGCTGCGGTGACGTACAATATACGTACGTGGAAATTCCGCGGAGCGCATGGAAAACACGGAAACGATGTTTGCCACTGAAAGTACTAAAAATTCATCAAATTCGCGAGCCCGTTGCGCTTTTTTATGACCCGGCTGTTGTCGACTGGGTCACAAATAATTCGAATGATTTACGTTAGATTTACTGTTCTCTCTCTCTCTCTCTCTTTTTCTCTTGGTGGCAGAAGCTAGTGAAATTCATTGAAGCTAAAAATTTAAATTGAAACGAATTCAACTGCACGTTTCTCTCCTAATGACTCGACGCTACCATTCGTTCGAGTTGTTCCAAACTGTAACGACCACTCGTAACTTGATTGCTTCAACGAAGAAACGTGGTGGGAAAAACGTAAGTGTAGTTCGATCAGCTTCGAACAATCGGTGAACCATTTTTTCCCTTTCCCAGACGTAAAACAGTGGACACCTCGTTTTTTGTCTCTGTTTGTTATTTGCTCGATGCCCTGTTTCAAAGAGTTCTTGTTGATTCCCTCTACTTCGTTCCACGTTGCCGCGCATTCTCCTGGATTCTTCGTAGTCCTCGATTTCCCCTCCGTTCGTCTCTCAACTCTTGCGACGTCTACTTTTTGATTTTTCGTTTCTCGTCGGGGTTTTCAAGCTCCATTAGAGGCGACGGCGTCGGGAGTGACAGGGAAAGACGTTGGCGCGAGGTTTTTTGCGCGGCAAGTAGAGAGAGTCCGCGACTGGTCGGACGCGGAGCTAGTGTTTTATGAATTAGGAGGGGACCACTCTTGACTGAGAGCGGGAGGCTCTCGAAATGACTTTTATCTGTCGCTCTGCAAGCACACGATCTTTCACTCGATAGTCGAGAGCGGAAGGAAGCTTGTGGTCCTTTTTTCTTCGTTTGCCGGAGATTTACTAGACGTTGATGCAGCCAATTCGGGTAAGTCTTTCTCTCATCAACGACGATTCGCCGACGACTGATTCGTCCAATTGGACGATATTTTGTTAATTGCTTGACAATCTTCTTTCATTTCTTTTCATCTCTCGAAAGCTCGACAGACGTCGGATCTTTATATCTACAATTTAACAAGATACTAAGAATTGCCTGTATTAGTTAAACTTCGAGTTTTTGTACTTCATTACATTTCCATATATTGTTCTGGACGAAACCGGAGACACGATCGAACTCTGAATGACCAAAAGATCACAGTAGAGTTCGACAATTCCCTCTAGTCAGTTGTTACTCAAAAAAAAAAAAAAAAAAAAAAAAACGCGAGCGATCGAATAGAGCTTGAAACGAAGGATCGATTTTCATTCTCAACAAGTGTGTCTCGCAACGGAGCTAACGTCAACGTGCAAGTTTCATTTTCAATGAACTCCTGGCCCGGACGTTCTCCATCTCGCTGATGTTGTCGATTTTTTTACAGGCGACGAGGGAAACGGCCTCGAGAACGACGGACGAGTCGGAGGGAATCGCCTCGGTAACGAGCGATCTCGTTGCGACCGTCGAGGCGGACGATTTCACGAAGGAGTGCGCGCGTTCGTTGGAGCCGGTGCCTTACATCTTTTATCTGAGGGCAGAGCCGGATATCGAGATAGCTACGGAGCACGACGACGAGCAGGTCATTGCAGCGGATCCCGATCGTGAGAACGTCGCCGGTTCCTACAAGCGGCTTTCCTTCAATCTCACGGACAAACCCTGCAAGGGTGGCAAACCGTGGATACTGTGACAGACAGCGGCGTTACACTGTGAAAGATCACTCGGATCGTTCGTTGAATTACACGTGCGTGATGACAACTGGACTGAGAGTTTTTTTGTTTTTGTGATTTTTCGTACTTTTGCGTGTATTTCGAGAAGCTTACGAGAATACGAGAGTATTCCAGTTGATTTGTATTTATATATAATAGGACGCGTACTCATCTTTTCGTTGATACAGAGGGAGAAGTTTAGAAAATTAATTTTTGGAAACTCAATCTGTTGTTATACTAAACTCGTATGATATACTATAATCTGAGAACTTCTATTTTTCTTACATAAAGCGTGTAAGATTCAACTAACAGGTGGATTCATCGTTCGGACAAATAGAGTTTCCGCGCTTTAAATGTGGAATATTTCTGATGATTGTTTTCAGAAACACATATAATCTATATGGAAATTTTGCACGCACTGTGCAAGACTGAAAATTCATCGATCGGCCGGGAAACGCAAAGTTTGAAGTGTGTCTGCGGCGTTTCTCGCGGCAGCTGCCGCTTCTCCTTCTGCCAGGCTCGCGGAATCTGTCTCTCCGTTGGTAAACTTCGCCACCGATGGCATTTAGATTCCATCCGTGTAATATCTCGGATTCGGCATCAAAGACGACGTTCCCTGTCAGCGGCGTCCGACGTCGGATCTACCAACGGCTTATTGTGCAACGTCAAAGCGAATTGCCACTTGCCCTCAGACAGTAATTTTAATCCCTGCGTAATTTTGTACTTGCAGATGCATTCTGAATTCTGAATTCCGTGGGAGAATCGATTGAAAGATGAAGGAAGAAGACGGTAAGTCTCTCTACGTCGAATTATACGACTTTAACGATTTTTTTTCTTTTCTTTTTGCATACCTGATTGTATTATTCAATTTAGTTCAAATTCTCGTCAACGAGATGTTATTTTTTCGCGAACGAAACTAAGGAAACTCATTGATAGAAATATGAAAATTCGCGTAAAGACAATTAAAGTCCAAGTTCGCTTGGAAATTCAGCGCAGTGTTGTCGATCGGCATACTGCACGAAGTATTTCTATACGATTGTTTTTGCATTCGATTTTGGGATTAAACACGCCTGTCCATTAGCCACACGGTAGATATTAATCAAGTCGAGCCGATATTATTTGTTTTTAATCAGCTAGTCTTCCAATCGACACGTTCATTGCTACTGGCGCGCGTGTTGCGTTGATTCAAATATTTAAACAATCCTGCCAGCACGAACGGTACATTTTGGTTCCTTTTTCTCTTGTATTTTGGAAAAACAACTTGGAGAGACAGTACATGTTGGAATGAAAATTATTGCTACGTCGCGGATTTTTCTCTTACTCGTGCAATATTTGAATAATCTATCGGTGATTGGAACTGGTCGAGAGGTGGTTTAGAAAGTAGAATTATATTTGAATAAACAAATGAATAAATGACGAAGCAGTGAACAAACATAAACATATGCTTCAATGTGGTAAAGAATATTTGGCTTTCGTAGTGTTTTCAGTCCAAACTTTGATTATCTATCAATCAATAACTTGAAAAATCACTCTTCAATTTCGGTAACTGTCAGCAAGACAAAAATCACTGTACAACACTTACAGTTTGCTTCTTAGAAACTTTCTTTATTTTTTAATTGAATCTACTCCGACAGAACCTTATCGGCGCTAGTCCCTATATTCTCAAACTTCATTCAGCTCGCCGAGAATGGCTGAACTCTGATATCTGATCGATTTCACGACTTCGTCGTATTTCTGAGTCGCGTGTCCAGAATTTCGCGTTGAAAAGGAAAAAGAAGATAACTTGAAAAGGAAGATCTTGGCTCGACTCGTCATCTCGCGCAGTTGGAAAATTCTCCTCGAAGCGTAACATAAATCAGATCCATGACGAAACGGTGACGGAAAGTAACCAGCGTGACGAAACTTCGATGAAGAAGGAACTTTTGTTCGTGGAAAATTGTAGGGCGAGTAGGCGTCAATAAGCGACATCGATCGTTCACCATATTGTGGTTTCCGCGAGACTAATTAAGAACTGCATAGGCGTAATTATCAGGAACACACAGTGAAACAGGTGGCGTGTGTGCTGGCGGATACGCTCGGCGTATTATCCGCTCGAGGTGTAATTAATTTTCAACGATGGCAAGTTCCGCCGTGTCGTTATCGTTGCCGCGTTCTTGCGCGAGTTTAGGGTGTTTTATAGGGGAAGGTTTATATGGGCCTCTCTCTCTCTTTCTCATTCGAGAAGACAAATGGATTTTTTTGTGGTTGAAGACGAGAGTTCTGCGAAGACAATTCAGCAATAGTTGACGAGTCGAGAAGAGTTTTCTAAAGATATTCTCTTCAACTCCAAAATTAAATAGAAAGACAATTTTGGCAGTGAAATTGATCAACGACATGTGGTGAATATTATAAAGATGAATGACAGTTGATACATTCTTGAAAACATAATACACGGCCAAAAAATAACGTCCTACTAAAATAAAGAGCAGAAATTTGCGAACGCTCTAGTAGTCAATATTTAGAAAGAAATAATTTTTTAACATAGTAAAAAAATCATGTCAAAATTAATAAAATTAATAAAATTAGTTTTTTCCTTTTTTTTTTATTTTTTTTTAAAAAAAAAAAAAAGGTGGGAAGAAACTTTTGGCCCACCTTATACAACGTGACAATTGATCAAAACGAGCTGACGACATGTTAAATCGATTGTTAAATGCGAGTGAATATCCGAATGTTTGCAACTGTCTGAGCACACAAGTGGCTGTACGTACATAAAGAAAGAAGCACTTGACGAAAAGAAGGAAGGAAATGATGAAAAAAATTTGGTCGACTGCCAGAAATACCGAGATTCAGATTGGGATTTGATCTTCACGTCCCAACGATCTAGAGGACCTCTACACGTTATAATAAAATCACTTGAAAAGATCAAATCCCCTTCGGAATTTTGTAGACAGATTTCCACGTACTCTGTGCATCGTGAATCCTGAATGCAGTCTGTTGGCGCAACCTTCGAATCAATCTTCGCTCACTATCGATATCTCGCAACATAAACATCCGCCCAATTTATCGAGAGCGACTTTGCATAAATCTTTCGCGCGAATTTTCCCTCTTCTCCGAAGGAATCACAATGAATATCAATAATTTATATATAACATTGCGAATAACTCAATTTTTTGAAATGACAAAGATATTCCTCCAATATTGAAAAGTGAAAAATAAAAAAGATAGAATTTGCCAACGCGGATCGATCGAAAGGAATAGAATGTTGCTCGTTAACGGATGGAACTTTCAATTGGAAGATTCTAAACGAGCTGCTTAAATTCGGATGGAGAAACCGATTTCTCCTTTTGGGATCAAATTAAACGGCCAGAAAATCGTAAAAAAAAAAATGAATTATCATCCTCCGACTCTTACCTAAGAGTCTGTTCAACTGCTCGCGAAAAATTCCGAAAAATTTCGCGGTCGCCGAGTTTCTCGTCCTTTCCATTTTTCTTCTCCGCTAGCTATCTCGTCGTATTTGTGTCTCATTAATTTCAACGGCCACTCGGTTTTTCGAGACGCCGGCGTTCGGAAGAGGAAAGTCGAAACTCTGTCGAAAGATTACCTTTCGGCGCGTAATTTTCGAGGTTCCTCCTCTTGAAAGGACTTCGCGAAAAAGAAAGAAGAGCGAAGAGCGAGCCTGCGATGGAAACACGCTAATAAAGCTCAAAGGAATCGTTTACAAAGTAAAATGATGATGCTATCAAATACGAAAATCCGTGCATGTGCGCACCGAGAGAATCTCTCCTCTCTTGCCTTTATTTCGCGACACCATTAATTTCAACTGCGACAGTGGCACTTCAAAAGAGAAGGACGAACGTCTCTCGTTGCACGAGGCAGAGAAGATCTCTCTCTCTCTCTCTCTGTCGTTGCTCTTCTCTCTGGCAGCTTTCCTGTGGCGTGTGATTTACTCGATACGAAAGGCACTCGACGCGAATGGCACAGGCGAAATAATTTTTAATCTATGCGTGCGTTATCGATCGCGAACGAACGAACGGCACGCAGCCTTTTCGCAGACGACAGACACTGGCAGTCTACTGTGTATTAACGATATCAGTGTGAGACGTGATTTACAACCGACGGGCATAACTCGCGTAGAATGTCGGGACTATCGATATTTTCTCAGCTCTCTCTCTCTCTCTCTCTCTCTCTTTGCCAAAGAGTGATTTACAACAACTGCATCGAGTCATCGATGCTCTGGCAAGAACCGCGTCGATAACGGCCGTCTCGTCGAAACGATATTTTATTTTTCTTTTTCTTTTTTTTTTTTTTTTTTTTTCGGAAAGAGTCCTCGGACTTCTCGAGGGGATTTAATAGGACGTGCAAGTTTTAATTGGGATCTACCGTTTCCCCGCGAGTCCCTCGGGGATTTCTTTCCTAGCTGCTTGCCGTTATAGTTTCGCCTGGCTTTGTCGGCAGTTGTTTGCGAAACACGCGCAACTGGCTGTGCGTACCACCTAGCGAGAAACGCTTCGGGGTGGTGTACACACACTTTGGAGGGGCGCGGGAAAAAGTTGAAGGATAAGAAGAAGTCGGGCAAATTGAACTGCCGAACGCGTGGTTCGCGAGTATTACGAGACGTGGAACTACCGCCTTTGCAATTGCGTTTCAATTTGTCGTTCCGTCGTCGATTCCTCGTCGCGTCAATTTGGTTTCTCTTTTCTTTTTTTTTTTTTTAATTTATTTGGCATTCGAGCGTAGGATATTCCGTTTTACGTAGAGAAGAATTACACTGAGATTTTTTTTTAACGGGTCGGTCTATCAATTCAAGATTAATTATTCTCCGAACAGATTACTTGCAGGAGGAAAAAACGCTATTAGCGCGGGCATATATATTCTAGAGACATAATGTCGCTCGTAAAAGTGTCGTTGGGACGCTCTTTTGCAATAATTCACCAATTAATAATATCGGTAGCTCTCAGGGGACAAACGATCTCTCCGAATTGTAAATTTTTCTTTCAGTATTCATAATTTCACGCGAGCGCAAGTGCGTTAATGATTTAGAATCCACTGCGAAAACTGAAAAAATCCGGGGGAATCGTTATTTTTGAGACTTTACTTTCGAATTCGCCACTATACCTTATGTAAACACTTTGATCCTAGAACGAAGTCGATCAGTTTGACTTTATTAACTTTCAAAATTTGGTATTAAAATATTGAGTCAGAGCTTGATTGGATAGAAAAAAATTGTAGTCCCACGTAATTGTGAGTTTGTGAATTTTTAATTAACAATTTTTAATTCTTCAAAGCGAAGCTCAACATTTAAATATA